AAGGGTCCGGATCTCCACGGGGAGATTGTTCCAGAGGGCCGGAGCAGCCACAGAGAGGGAATTGTGAGGAGAATGGAATCGCTGAAGGAGTTCCCGGGCCTCTTTTGGAACTCCCGAGAAGATAAGAGAAGACGGAGAAGCTCACCATGGGGGTCTCATCAATGTGTATGTGGGTCTTTTGCTTCGCCTCGCACAACTGCCGCAGGTGGAAAATCAGCAGCTCGTTTTCTTCCTGGTCACTAACCGGCTTCATTTTCTGCCATAAGAGGAAAGAAGCAAATGTTTGTGATAACCGGCTCTGCTCCGATTGGCAGCCACGTTACCTCAGGGTTTCGGAAAAGAATTTGCTAACTCCTGAAGTGCATTTCTGGTTCTCAAAAGCTTTGGAGCCCACCGAGAGGTAGAGATCATCCCCAGTGCTGTATCTGAGGGAGTTGGGGGGGGGGGATTATTACCTGAACACGCTCAAAGATGTCCGCCTGCTCGTTGTCACTGAGAGAGGACAGGTGCCTCTGAATTACAAGCTTGGCTCTTGGCGGATAAAGTCCTTCAGAGGGAAAGAAGAGAGGTCGTTGGGCATCAGAGAGATTTACTCATTGTAAAGCCCTCACACGCTTTTCTCTGCAGTCAGAAAGACAAGATTCCGCTGAAGTGTGACTGTTGAAATCCACACCACCTCTACCAAAACTCCAATGCCTTGCCCTGCCCACCAATGCCCTTGCCCCCCAGATGCCCACCATCCCTTTGAGCCAGGAGACCTTCATCTCCCTAGTTGGCTATTTGTTCTGACCCAGCTCCCAAACACGACAATCCCTTTACAGTTAAACAAATGTTCCCTTTATTAGGAGTGCCAGCAGCCCTGGGAAAAAATCTCTCTCACACACACACAGCAGGCTAACAAGTCGGTCCGGCAGGGAGATGAATAGTTGTGTGCCACACCGATTCATCTCCGCCCCCTGCCTTTTATCCCCAGAGCTAGGGTGGAGCTTCGCTAGCAGCGGTGGCTCTTCCGTCCCAAGGACCAGCCCATAGATTTCCACTGCTCTCCTCTCCTCTGTCTTCTGCACATCTACGGGTCAGGCACCCAGCTGTTCCTCCTCTTCCTCATCAGCCACCTCCAGACCTGGGGGCTGTTGACTCTCCATCTAAGGGCTGATGGACAGTCCAGGCTCTGCCTCTGTCTCTCTTTCTGCCAATTCCATTCCCTCTTCCCCCTCGGAGCTCCCAGGTAGCCTTGCTGCTGACCCTGACTCCCACACCTCCTCCACCTCTGATTTGGCTGCTGGAGGGGCCAGCTACTGACAGATCACAACACAATTCAAGGTCTCTGGCCATAGCTTTGCTTCCCCCTTCCTTGGTGGCTTGGTGGAAGCTCAACCCAACCCTTTCCCCTTCCTCGCTAGGATGATTTGGCTACCAACAAAAGCAATTTGCCAAGGCAGTTTGGCGTGGGTCTGAGAACTTCAGAGGTGGTGGACATTGCCCTAAGCAGCATGGGGCCTTCACTCCTGAAGAAGGGATTGGGGAGAAGGTTGGTTGGAACAACATGCAGAGATATCTCCGCTGTGTTGACCATCAACTCTGGAAGTCAAGGGCCTCTGCTGGCAGAAAACCATTCAGATGAGCCTGATGCACTGATCAGGTTCTGGAACAGGTTTTAAGAAGGCCTCCCACCCCACATACATTCCTTGTTTTATCTTTAAAGTCATCATTTTTATAAGTCCAATCAGACAAGAGAGGAGAAAAGAATAGTTTTTTTTAATCAAGCTATTTCCATCTAAGAATATAACTGGACCCCCAAAGAAGCAGAAGCCACAAGCTAAACTTGCTTGTTTTATAGCCTTCATCTTGGCCAAGGTACAATCTGAGTTTGCCTTCTACAGAAATGTCTCAATTATTTGGGGCGTACTTCAAAAGTCTGGGAGAGAAGACCTGGGGTTCTTCAGAGTATTGATATGCTCAGAGCCTCACCCAGAAGCAGATATTCTCATTCCAGTCCTTGGTTGAGAATAGAATGTTCTTTGCAATCTTTACATAAAGGTGAACACACCTGTTGATACTATCACTCTTTGACAGCGTAGCCTTTGTCCAAGTAGATCTTTATGTGAAATGACACTGTACTTTAAAATATCATTTAGTTTTTTGGGCGTCAGATAATGACACGGTTGGAAGAGATGTTAGATCAAAAGACAGATTTAAAACCAGAGCTATTCCTATTAGGAATGATAAAAGAAAAATATGGTAAAGGAGTGACATATTTAATGCTGCATGTGATAATCTCAGCAAGACTGGTACATGTGCAAAATTGGAAAAACAAGAGATGTCCCAACCGAGGTAGTAAAGAAAATTTTGATCTGTGTAGAAATGGACAGATCGACTCTAGAAATCAAAAATGGAGATGAGACAGAACATTGTGAAATTTGGAACAAAATGTATCAATGGTTGGAAATGAGGAAAAGGAGTCGGAACAGAATAATTTGAGGATTGTAAAATTGGAAACGGATAATACATAGATAAATATATAAAGGAGGATAAGGGATATGTTAGTAAGACGAATGTAGCTATGTAGCTACGATAAGTAGAAACTGTATTTGTTGTTATGTAAAAATATGTATGGAAGTGACAAAGCCAGAAAGGTTACTCTATGTCCAATGTTTTTAATGCTTATTCACTAAAACAAAATTTTAAATAAAAAAAATAAAATATTATGTAGTGCCAGCAACAAAAATAAGTTTTCAGAAGCATGTGAAAACTTTCTCAGATATTTTTGCATTCTCTTGCTCAGAGGCTGCAAATTTAGCTTTTAAAAAAGAATAAAAAATGAAGCCCTAGTCCCAAGGGTGATTTTTAGGAGGCAACTGGANTTGTGTCTGTGAGTGTGTGTGTGTGCATGAGGGTGTGAGAGAGGATGTCATGGTCAATAGGAAGACCGGGGAGGGGGGCAGACAGAAAAGGTGCCTCCCCCCCCCCCAAATCCCAAAATTCAACGCAGCAAAAAAAAAAAAGTGCCATTTTTTTCATGCTCCCTGATCAAGATTTCATTGCACTTAAGAAAAACAAACAAACAAACAAACACGGATTTTTTTAAAAAATGAAGTCGAAAGTATTTTTGTTTTAAAGTCCTGCACCAACTCCGTAAATTAGCTTCTCCCTCTCTTCACCTCCTCCCGTCCGTTTTGTAGGGAAAATGGGGAGGGGGGTCGGGGAGGGTGGGGAGAGAAAGAAAAACGGGTATTTTGAGGAGAGGAAACCGAGGAGAACGTTTTCTTTCCTGCGTCCTCGGACGAGTACCGTAAATAAATAATTTAAAAAATAACCATCGTGCCCGTTTCGCTTTGGATGGCGGGGAGGGAGGGAAGATGGCGATGAAAAAGTCTGCTTTCCCTCCTTGTTTTTCTTCCACGGGGAGCTTTGTTGGAGGGAGACTTTAAAGAGAGAGTTTTGGGAAGTTTTTTCCCCCCCACAGATCTTTTTTTGGTCTCCGAGAATTAAGGATCTTCGGTCTCCGAAGAACGCCTTTGTTTCCCGTGGAAGGGACGTCCAAGCACCAGTTGGCTCCCCCCGTGGGCCCACTCAAAAGCCACCACGTCAAAATGGCTGCTCGTCCCAGGGGAGCCCCGGCCGGTCTTTGGGTCTCCTCGGATGGGCAGGAATGCTCCGTTCGGAGGGACGAGCCGTTTTGAGACGGTCTCCGCACCCCGGGGGTCTCCGGCTTCTCGTCGCCTCTGGTATAGCTTTCTCTTGCTCGGTTCCAACCGAGGGACGGTTGGGAGGGGAGGGGAGCAGGGGTGAGTGCCCACCAGCCTCGAGGGTCTGCTCGAAGGGGAACGTATTGGGGGGGAGGCGGGGTTCTTCGAAAAGGGCTTCCCTGAGAAATTGTTCCAACCTCCCCCACAACACCGTCGGCAGCAGAGGCGTCCGGGCGTGGTTGCTAGGGAGACTTGTGGACTTCATCTCCCAGAATTCCCCAGCCAGCTTTGCTGGCTGGGGAATTCTGGGAGTTGAAGTCCACGGGGTCTTAAAATGGCCACAGTTGGATACCCCTGCTCTACAGTTCCTGCCGAGATTGTCAGAGCACCTCGGAACCAGGATGTCCGGCCAACGTCTTCTTCCCAGCGCAGGTGGGAAGTTGGAGAGACCCACCTTCACCTGCTTTCCCCCTTCTAAAAGCCTCCCCCGCTTTTCGGGGCCAAACCTTAAGAAAAACCCCGGGGGGAGAAAGATAGGAGCAATTCTGGAAGGGCCAGGTGAGATGTAGCTCAATTTTCAACCCATCTCCACCTGTTAAATGAAGAGTATATGGGGGTATATCGAGGGGAGGAAAAAAAGAATGGGGAGGGGCGCGAAACTACCCTGAACCCAGCGGCGCCCGTACAACGGCTCTCGCGTCAGTTTTGTCGGGCGGGATGAGCCCACGCCATCTCCCCGCTCACACGCAATACAGACCCCCCTGCAAGTCTTTTGACAGTCCATGGGAGAGTTTTCCTAAGCCGTTGTCCTCATGGGTGGAAAAGCCAACCGCTTAAAAGTTGCAACCCCGATTCTTTTCACGATCAATCGAAGAAGTTGGCCTGGCTGGTGTTCACATTTGCGGGGCAACGGAGGGAGAGGAATTGCTGCATCCCCCCTCCCCAATTGCACCATGTGTCCTGGGCTGGAAGGCAAACTGCCCCACGTGGGAGTGGGGGGGAACCCCATGGAAAAACGGGAAACCTTCTCCTCCTCCTTCTTTTCACGAACGGAAAGAATAAGGAAGCCCCCCGCTGGGGTCACTCTGACCGGAATGCCCGACTTCGAGGCAAGAGTCTTCCCGTGCCGCTTTAAATAAGACACCGAACCCAAAAAATAATAATAATAATAATAGAACAAACATGGAGACGCGGACGAAGGAAGGGAAGAGGGTATGAATGCACGCATGTGTAGATAAAAGAGATGAGAGAGGGTTAAAAATAAATAGTCATCTGGGCTGAGAAACGGCAGCTCGAATCGTCCTGCTTAAGGTGAGAAAAGTGTGTCTGTCTCTGTTTGTGTGTGTGTGTTTTTCAGGCATGGGAGGGGGGCATGACAACACGACAAGTCTGCCACCTTGACTCAGCGCTCAGTCACAAACTCTCTCCTCGGTCTGCGACACAACCGAGAGCCTGGAGGAGGAGCCAAAAAAACAAAAAACGCAGGACTTGGTTGAAATCCTTTTTCCTTGGTTCATTTAAAAGTTTAAAAGTCCGGAGACGTCCAAAATTCAACCTGACTTTGCGGGGAATCTTTCGAGAAAAAGAAAGAAAGAAAAAGGAACACGAGTGGGAGGGAGGAAAAAAATAAAAAATCATTGCAAGTGCCCTTGGCTAGTGTTCCGGAAAGGAGAAAAACCGAGGCCGTTCCATCTCAAGGGATTTCGTCCTGGGTCTCAAGTACAAAAAGCTTTTTTTCTTTTCCTTTTTTCTTTCTCTGGATTCGAGGTCTCCCTTTGGCCGGTTTTCCTGGATCGGTCCTGCGAGATGGTGGTTCTCTTCTCGGAGGAAGACGTCGAGAATGTCAAAAAAAAGAAAAAAAGGGGGGGGGGGGAAGACGTCGAGAATGTCAAAAAAAAGAAAAAAAGGGAGGTGGGGGAGACAGGGGGAGAGGAGAGGAGGGGAGGGGGTTGCATCTGGAAACAAAGCTCTTTGGGAAGGGAGAAGGCATTTGGTTGCCCCGGTATTTCAGTGTCCGCTTTGGGATCGCTCGGTGGAGGCAGGGAGTAAAGCTAGTGTTTCTCCAAAGCAACCGGATGCTCATCGACTGCCCAGAACTGAAAGAGAAGAAGAGGAGGATGAGGATGAGGAGGATGAGGAGAAGGAGGAGGAGAAGGAGGAGGAGGAAGAAGAAAAAGAAAAAGAAGAAGGAAGTTTAGAGTATTGATATTGTTAAGATCTTTGGTGCTGTCCGAGCTGGATGGTTTTCTCACAGACGTTTCATGACCAAACAAGTTAACATCATCAGTGCTAGAGGGGAATGGGGTTGGGTGGGGGGGACAGAAGGAGGAATAGGTTGCTGTTGTGGCCCAGCAGGAGCCATTGGAGCTGCCACCAGACTCCGACAGTGAGGGGCCCTCTGAGTCGGCTCTGGAGGACCCTGGACAGGGTTCCGACTCCGAGCAGGGCGTAGAGAGGCTGGTTGGCCACCAGGAGGCGCCTGAGACTTGGACCAGTGGGGAGGAGACAAGGGAGAGTGAGCCGGATGCCAGCAGTGGGGAGGAGCCAAGGGAGTTGTTCCTGGATGCCCAGCACAGAAGAGCTAATAGGCGTCAGGAACAGTTGCGCAGGTACAGGAGGTAATTGCACTCGGCTGGTGGTCATTAGGCTCTTCTCCAGACTATAATAAGGACTGCTTGTGCAAACGGCCCTTTTGCAGAAGTCAACACAGGAACGAATGTTGGAGAACATTTTTGTGAGCTTGGCAGGCTGGATTGCTGCCAGGCCTTATCTGTGCCGGGTTGCTGCCAAGGNGTCTGTCTGTTAATTAAATGCCGTAACTTATCTTTGGCTCAGAGTGTGCTTTGGTGTGGAACGAGGGGGGTCAGAACACCCTACTATCCTGGCAGAGCTGAGAAGCTTCTTGGATGAGAAGCAAAACATCTTCAAAAGAAGAAGAAAAGAAAAAACAAGGGGGGGGACCCTAGAGAAAATATCTTCAGATCTATGGGTTTTTTTGTTGGAAGTCTGACAAACTGCATCCTGTAAACTTCCAAAGTTTGTGCTAATCTTGTTCAAGGCTTAGCGAGACGAGACTAGAAGCCTGATGACATCGCGTTCAAAGAAAGCCCAAGGACCACAAGGCCTGTGGAGAAACGGAAGCCATTTGCTTCTCTCCAATGGAACTTGTTAATCAGGTTTCAAGACCCCCTCCCAATTCCCAAACGTTCTCATCAAGCATCAATGACAGGTGCCAATCCATCAGATCCACAGAACAACCTGTTGGGGCCGGTTTATCTGAGACACTGCCTCTTTCAGTTACATCCACTGGACTCAATAGAGCAGGGAGGCAAGGAATGTTCCGAGCCTCCTCTCCTCTCCATTCTCCACTATCCTGTCAGAACTGAAGAAGCTTCTTGGATGAGAAGTGAAACGTCTTCAAAAGAAAAAAAAAACAAGAAAGTCCAGTTGCCTCCTGAAAAAGCACCTTTTGGAACAACCATGGATGACTGAGACTCTCTACAGACTAATAAAGGCCTAGCTTCACATCTTTTCAGATCTGAGAAATCCCGGTTTTTCTTTTTTGGAAACCGAGAGCTTGCAACTAGTCTGGCCCTTCTGCAAACGTGGTTTATTAAAGAACAAAACATAATCCGTTTTGGTCTCTGACTCAATACACCAAGAACTGGAAGCGTGGGAAGCTTTTTCAATGTTGGACTTTAACACAACCTCAGTGGCTTTACGGTTTTGCCCACCAGAGGGAGCTGATCACCAAATATGTGCTTTCGGAAATAAACATTGATAAAGGAAGTAAACAGAAATAGGTAAACATTTCTGCTTCATCGGCAAAAAATCTTAGACATTGTTTTATCACTGATACCTGCTACCCATCCAGGGGACATACAGGTAATTCTCAACTTACAAGCACAATTGAGCCCCAAATGTTGCTAAATGAGAAATTTGTTAATTTTGTCCCATTTTACAACTTTTTGTTGCCACAGCTGTTAAGTAAATCGCTGCAGTTCTTAAATTAGCAACACCGTTGTTAAGTGAATCGGGGCTTCCCAGGTGGCGGGGTTTCGGGAGACCAAAAATGCTGTATTCAGTGTATAAGACGCACCCAGATTTTCACCTTCTTTTTGGGAGGGAGAAAAGGTGCGTCTTATACTCCAAAAAATACGGTAAGTGTGAAAAATGGTCGTAAGTTATTTTTTTTCAGTTCTGATGCAATTTCAGAAGGACACGAAATTCCTTTTTCTCGCCATGTACTTTACATGCATACATCCGAAGTAAGACGTGTTGTTCCTCTTTGTCATCTAATATAGGTATGGTACATGCAAAATTTAGTTTGTTTATTTATTTATTTATTTATTTATTTATTTATTTATTTATTTATTTATTTATTTATTTATTTATTTATTTATTTATGCCTTGTTTAGGTAGCATATGTTGGAGGTGGTGATCCTTGGAGAGGATTTTTTTTGGATTATACTTTCTTCTTCTTCTATTTTATGGAACAAATTCCCATGTTCATCCTGTAATTGCTGCATCAGCTTTTTGATTTTTTCTTTCTTTCTTCCATTTGTCGGCCAGCCATCTACCTGGTTTATTTGCTGTTTCGAAATAGTTTTGTTTCGCCGTTTCATTTCTGTTTGAAGTGTTAGATTGATTTTGTGTTTCACCAAATCTCTCTCTTCTTTGATTTTAATATTTTGTGGTCCTTTCTGCAACACGCTCTCCATCTCTTTAAGCTTCTCCTGCAATGGTGTTTGCTGTTTCCTTTTTTCCTTATTTCTCCTTGCCGTATATGCTATTGTTATACCCCGCACATAGGCTTTTGTGTTGTGTTGTTTGATCTTTCTTGTTTTCATTAAAGAAAATATCTAATTCCTTATCCATCGTTTGTTATATGACTTCATTTCAACGCATGCCGATTAGTGTGCATTCGAAGCGACAATAAAGCCATTCCGAGCCTAATTCTATGGTACCCACACAAAGGCATTTTGTGCTCTCCTCACATAAATGAGCAGCAACGGATGGAGAGGAGGGGCTGGGGGGGCCAGCGTGCCAGACAGGCCTCGCAAAACCTCCTAGTCCCCCTCCCCCCCCCCCCCCCCCCCCCCCCGGTGTCTCTTTCAGACCACGCAAGATTGAAAACCGTGGCTACCTTCGATCCTTTCGCACAGCTTGTGGAGGGAGTGCATCGGGCAGGCCTCGCACAGTTTAATCTGGGTCTTGGCATTCTGCAGGGCAGCTGCTGTGCTAAAGGCTTGCTTCAGAGTCAGCATGATCTCATCCACCTAAGAAAGGGAATTTTAAAGGTTAGATTTTAAATTCTGGGTCTTTTCCTAAGACCTGGAAGAGGGTTTTTTTCCCCCCAGGTCGAGCCAAAGCTCTTATACCAGCCCATAGAAAAGGGCATAATAGAGCAGGTGACTTTTTCTGCTGCCGGCGCACCGAAGTAGGCCGGGTTCCCGTGAATTTCAATGGCGCTGCGCATCAGAAACCAGATCACATCCAGCTCTCCGTGTGCATTATCTAGCCTGCAAAGAAGACCCTCTAAGGAGCTCCAAACAAACAGTTCGCAGCCAAAGCACGGAGTTTCTTGAGTGTCAGAAGCTCCATTTCTAGTTTTTTTTTTTTTTTAATCAGTCAAACTTTTGGAGGCTCGCTAGTGTCCTGCAGATGGGAGGCAAACTCCCAGCCCCAAGGCGTGCAAGATTCCCACCACCTCCTGCTCCAGACGGGCCTAGCTTCACAAGCTCGGTGGGAAAAAAAGGGTCAGAGGTTGCAAGACACTGGCATACAGATTCAAATCCATTTCAGGCGTGAAACGGTAGATGAACAGATGGAGCTATTGAAGGAAACCCGCCCAGAGTCTGGAAAGGCATGTCAACAAGACAGGATGCTTGGGGAGGGGGGGGGGGGGGGGTGGAGAGACTCAGCGCTGAACCCTTCGACTTCTCTGAAAAAGAGCTGGCATTCCTCCTTCTGTTCTTCGTGGCAAACGCTTGCAGAGAAAAGGGAGAGCTTCTTCTTTATCTCCTACTGATAGTGGCTTGCGACAACGTTCAGAAGCTGAGTAGTATCTGCTTTGTCTAAAAACCGCTCTCTGCAAGGGTTGTTAACCAGTCGCTGCCTCTGACCCAGAGAATTATCTCAGTCAGAGCTGCATCAAAAAAGTACCGAATTTTTTCAGAGTATAAGATGCACCGGAGTATAAGATGCACCAAGGTTTTGAAGAGGCAGATTTTTTTAAAAAAGTTTTTTGCACTCTGCAGACTTCACAAAAACGGCCCATTTTTCACAAAAACGGGTCTGTTTTCTTTTTTCAGAAAAAGGGCATGAATAGCCTTTAGGAGGCTTGTAGAGTGCTCCTGGGAGCTGCCCCCCCCAAAAATGAGCAAAAAAGCCCAATTTTTGTGAAAACGGGCCCATTTTCTGTCACAAAAAGGGCATGAATAGCCTTTAGGAGGCTTGTAGAGTGCTCCTGGGAGCTGCCCCCCCCAAAAATGAGCAAAAAAGCCCAATTTTTGTGAAAACGGGCCCATTTT